AGAGTACTAGGTATTATAAACTTTATGTAAGCATATATAAAGCATCTACTTCCTGATATTAAAATTTTTCTCCATTTACATACTTTCCCAGCAAACCAAAATTTGTTTAGATAACTATCACTTTGATGTTCCATGATAAAACCCCTCTGTTGACCTAGAAAAGGAAGAGAAAGAAATCTATGGTGACTAAACTAGAATTCTTCAAAAATATGATAAGTATCTTTTGCTTCCTATGTAGCTGTCTAATTACAAGCTGACCATGGATTACCTTTCTGATACTTTCAAGAATACAATGATATGGACTAGTTCCTTCAGGGTAGAAAGAGAAAGTGTATTTTCTGGATAATCTTACAAACTGGGTCCCAGGCAATTGGGTCCTCTAAGACAATGCAACCATTCATTTGGCTTTGATCACACGCGTGGCATGGGGACAGATGGCAGAACATGCAGCATCTACCCAGCTTGTCCAGTCCTGATGAAAGTGAAATGCAAGCCAGAAGCAGGGGCACGCACCTGGAATCCTAACACTCAGGTGGCTAAGGGAAGATGGCTGAGTTTGGGACTAGCCTGGGCTACAGAGAGATTGCATATTAAAACCTGTCTCAATAAAATAAGGTGGGTGGTATTTTTTCCAGAGCCAACAATTTTTAAGTGGCAGTGGTAGTAACAGTAGAGGAGTTCTTTGTTGTTGTTGTTTGTTTGATGGTTTGTTTAGTCATAATGAATACAATGGCAATGGTTACCACTAGATACAACAATTGAACCTTTATGATGCATTACTTCCTAATCACTCCTGATAAAGGTAGAGTAATCCCACATTGCTGGGAATTAGCCCTTTCTGGAAATCTAGAGAAGCATCTATTTCCCTGAACTAAAATTTTCTCCTTAATTTGGAAAAGATGTTGTTACTTATAGTGGGATCTGAATCCTGACCCACTGAGGCAGGAAAGTGGACATTGTCCTAAGATGGAAAGTAACTTACATCATGTCAAACAGTATAATTTCAAACGATGACTTAGAAGCCAATTATAAACTTGTCTATTAGACTTATAAATTACACATGCATTAATAATCACACACTTAAGTGTACACAAGATTACTTCAAGATAGGTCTAAAAGTAAGATATTACTAGCTTTAAAAAAAATAAACCAAATCTACTCTCTAAGACAGTTAAGGTTAAAATATAATTTCTTTTGAAAAGAAGCAACTCAGGTTTCCACAGAGACTGAAATCTGAAAAGTAATGGACTAGTGTTTATAAAAAACTAAACACCACCATGGTGTCTCATGTACTTAAACCCAACACTCAGGAGGCAGAAGCAGGTGGGTCTCTGTGAGTTCAAGGCTAGTTTGGTCTACATAATGAGTCCCAGAACAGACAGAGCTACATAGTAAGACCCTATCTCAAAAAACAAAGCAAAACTAAAAAGCAGTAATCTTGAAGGATTATTTACATACTAGTAAGTGCTGTGATGATATTTTGTTTATGATCTAATGAATAAAGTTAGCCATAGAGGCCAGGCAGTGATGGTGCACACCTTTAATCCCAGCACTTGGGAGACAGAGGCAGATGTATCTCCATTAATTCAAGGCCACCCTGGGCTACATGAAATTGATCCAGTCTAAATGAGAAACAGAGCTCACACAAAGCTGATCCCAGCACTTGGAGTGACATGCCTTTAATTCCAGTACTATTATAGAGCTATAGTCCTGAAAACAGCTTGGTATTGGCACAAAAATAGACAGGTAGACCAATGGAATCGAATTGAAAATCCGGGTATTAACCCACACACGTACGAACATCTGATCTTTGACAAAGAAGCTAAAAATATACAATGGAATAAAGAAAGCATCTTCAACAAATGGTGCTGGCATAATTGGAGACTGGCATGTAGAAGAATGCAGATCGATCCATGTTTATCGCCATGCACAAAACTTAAGTCCAAATGGATCAAAGACCTTAACATAAATCCAGCCACACTGAACCTCTTAGAAGAGAAAGTGGGTGGTACCCTTGAACGAATTGGTACAGGAGACAGCTTCCTGAACATAACACTAGTAGCACAGACAGTGAGATCAACAATTAATAAATGGGACCTAATGAAACTGAGAAGCTTCTGTAAAGCAAAGGACACAGTCAGCAAGACAAAAAGGCAGCCCACAGAATGGGAAAAAATATTCACTAATCCCACATCTGACAGAGGGTTGATCTCCAAAATTTACAAAGAACTCAAGAAGCAAGTCTCCAAAACACCAAAGGACCCTATTAAAAAGTGGGCTGCAGAACTAAATAGAGAGTTTTCAATAGAGGAGTCTAAAATGGCTGAGAGGCACTTGAGAAAGTGCTCAACATCCTTAGCCAATCAAAACAACTCTCAGATACCATCTCACCCCTGTCAGAATGGCTAAAATCAAAAACACTAATGACAATTTATGCTGGAGAGGATGTGGTGAAAGGGGGACACTCCTCCATTGCTGGTGGGAGTGCCAACTGGTTCAGCCACTTTGGAAATCAGTGTGGAGATTCCTCAGAAAAATGGGAATAAACCTACCACAAGACCCAGCAACTCCACTCTTAGGCATATATCCAAAAGATGCCCATTCATACAACAAAGAGGTCTGTTCCACTATGTTCATAGCAGCTTTATTTGTAATTGCCAGAACGTGGAAGCAACCTAGATGTCCCTCACCTGAAGAGTGGATAGAGAAAACGTGGTACATCTACACAATGGAGTACTATTCAGCAGAAAAAAATAATGGAATCATGAGATTCGCAGGCAAATGGATGACACTAGAAGAAACCATCCTGAGTGAGGTAACCCAGTCACAAAAAGAGAAACATGGCATGTACTCTCTCATATATGGATTTTAGACATAGATCTGGGGAGTGCCAGCCTACAATCCTATGGCCAGAGAGTCTGGGAAACAGAAACTTTATTTAGTGGCTGATCGAAGAAGAGGCAGACTCCCTTGGTTAAGTACTGAGCTGAACTCAAGAAAGCCAGTAACAGAGAGGGAGGACTGATGATCAAAGGGATTAAGACTGGGCTGGTTTAACCCCCAGAAACAGCTGACCAGACAAAGGTTAACTCTTGAATCCCAGGCATTATCCTGGGAAGCCAGCATGGGACTGATCAAGACCCCCTGAATCTGGGTGTCAGTGAAGAGGCCTAGGGAATCTATTGAGCCTTGGGCAGCAGATCAGTACCCATCCCAAGTATACACACGGACTTTGGACTCCAATAGAACAATGTGAGGTGCACTCTCACCCTGAACTCTTGGGAAAGGGTCTAGGCCCTGCCCTATATGAAATGACACACTATGGACACCCCCATGGAGGGCCTCACCCTCCCTGGAGAAATGAGAGGATAACGGGGGGGGGAGGGCACGGGAGGAAGGGAGGGAATGGGAGAGGGACCTGGAACTGACATGTGAAGCAACCTTGATTCTTATCTAAATTTAAACTGGAAAATAAAATTTAAAAAAAAAAAAAAAGAACTCTAGTGGCTGGCTGCTCTGCTTCTCTCATCTTTCAGCTTTCACCTCCTGATAGCTGACTCTGAGTTTTTATTATTAATAACAATTAGAATTATTGCTACAAAGTGATAGTAAGAAAATCCTTTGATTATGAAATATTTCCAGCAGTCCGCATACCACCCAGTGTGAGGTCCGACTTCATCCACAGATAGTGTAGCTATGTGCACGTCACTAGCCCTCCACAGCAGAACAGATATAGGCCCATGCAATGCATGCTATAGAGAGAATTGTGCAGAAAGTCACCTTGGGGGTTGCTTTAGATAAAGATGTAGCTCCCAGAATCTCTGTGGATCTCTTTCTCTCACTTCTCAGCACGGGCACATGCAAACTGCATCAGAAAATTTGGGATTGACCTTATACATTTCCTCAACCTGAGTTGCTCTGCTTCTCCTTTTCCCTTAACTATAGCTCTCCACATAATTCCAGTTTTCTACAGAAAGACTTTCCTGACCCTTTGGGCTTAGATTAGTCCTGAAATTCCTCCATCACTGACATTATCCAACTAATGTTTATTTAAGGGTCAAGCCAGATTGCCAGCAGCATCAAAACAGAGACGGGCTGATTATAATGGTCTCCTGGATGCAGTAACACACCCCTAAATTTTTGTTCAAACACATTTATACACTGCACCTTGTTTTAAGAATCTAAAGAACTTCATCTTAGGAATGTAAAGACATGATTAGGAACTTATCCAACTAAAATGAGTGTGCCACTACCACTAAGAAGCCGATAAGCCTATGCCAAACCCTCAGGACCCAGAAACCAGGAGAAGATAGTCTCTGAACACAGCCAGCCATGCTCATTAGCCCATATGCAGAGAAACCAGCCCCTCCAGAACTTGGTTATTCTAGATCGTAGTTAGTGGAATTTTAATAAAATAATCGTAATGGTTGGGGCTGTTGAGATGGCTCAGTGGATGAAGGTAATTGTCACCAAGCCTGACAACTGAGATCATATCCCAGGATCCACTGGGTAAGATCATCAACTCTCCAAAGTTGTCCTCTGGCCTCCACTGGTGGGTCACAGTATACTCAACCCCCCCATACCATTCTGTGTACATTAAAACAATGTATTTGTGATGGCAGTTAGTATTGACTGTAAATTTAATCAGATCTAGAATCATCTAGGAGTCACCACTATGGTGTGCTGTGAAGTGTTTACAGACTGAGTTAACCCAGGTGGGACACCCAACCTAAGAATAAAGAGGAAATGAGCCAAGCACCAGTGCTCTCTCTTCTTCCTGATTGGATACAATGTGGCCCACCACCTCATGCACCTGCTACCATGCCATCCTCACTGCCACACATCTGCCCTCAAATGAAAATAAAACAGTCTTTCCTTCCTTCCATCCCTCCTTCCCTCCTTACTTCCTTCCTTACTCAGGCGGCAGCTCAGCCAGTATCTGGCCACAGCCACTGGAAAGAACCCCCACAGTAAGGCACTTTAAGGAGTTCTCCAGTTACCTGCTCCCGCTCCTTATCTTTGGTCTTGCTTCTGTAGACTCTAGTGGAAGTGGCGTCCTGTGATGGGATGGCAGAGATCTGGTGCAGTGGCACGCTCATCCCAGCCTCTGGCCTGGTCTTTCTCCTTACGGAAGTGAGTTTCCACTAGCAGAGTCATTTTGGGCCATTGACTTCAAGCTAAGAGAAATGAAAAGAAACAGAACTGAGCTAAAATACCTAACTTCTAACAGTAAGACTGGCACTATGTTAAATTTGAGTAAGTTATGCTGGCAAATACTTGGTCTTTAAAAGGGATAGAAAATGACTGGGGAAAAAGCATAAGGAAGCCGGGCATTGGAGGCACACGCCTTTATCCCAGCACTCAGGAGGCAGAAGCAGGAAGATCGCTGTGAGTTTGAAGCCAGCCTGGTCTACAGAGCAAGCTCCAGGAGAGGCTCCAAAGCAATACAGAGAAAACAGAAAAGACAAGCAAACAAAAAAGCATAACGTGTTTCTTCTAATAAAATCATAGCATCTGAACGAAGCTAGAGAATCGGTCTGTAAATAATCACAGATTAGTCTTGTTACACTCTTGGCTTTAAAACAACAATGTCTTATTATCTTATTTCAAAGTTAAACTTTTGCTCACGGGCAAGTATTCCTGTGCATGTGCACTATTTCCCTGAGAATCAAACCTAAGTCTCATCCATCCCGATACAGTAATTTTTCCTTAAGACTAACAACTTTGGCAGGAGGATTGCAAATCTGAAACTAGCCTGAGCTACATAGTAAGATCCTTTATAAACAAAGAAAAACAAAACAAAATTTAAAACAAACATTAGACACACACACCACTGCTGTTCTTGTAGTTGGGCTATAGTTCCACGTTTGAGTTGCCTATATACCTAAGTCTCTGAGTTCAATCCCCAGTCTCAAGCTCTAAATAAGAAAAATAAGGAGGGAGAGAGGGAAGAAGGAAAATAGTCAGTTGGTTCAACTGACCTCAAAGTCATACAATGTCAAGACTGCTGAAATTCAAAGTATCTCTGGTTCATGCATAACTTTCTAAAAGTCTAGACTTTCCAAATCAGCTGTTGGACAGCTTTTTCTATAAAGAGCAAGATAAATATTTCAGGCATTGTAGGCCAAATTTGTTTTAGTTACTTAATTCCACTATGTAGTGTGAAAGCAACCATTGATAATAATAAATAGGAATGGTTACATGTTATAGTCAAAGTTCACTGGCTCCAGTTTGGTACCCAGTGCAACATGAGTTAGTTCTTAACACTTTGAAAAGCTATGAGGTAAGTCTTGAGGATGGATAAGTGTTTTGCTGAAGGATAAATTTGTCTCATGAGTGAGCTCAGGGGCACCTGTTGCAAAGCCTCCAGCTCTCCTGCTTCCTCTCCCCACTATTTCCCTTTCTAACCCTGTGATAGCATCTAGCCTGTTACAATACAGCACGAGGCCCTCACCAGAAACCAGTGCAAATGTCCTACTCATGAATCTCCAGAACTAAGACCTAATTAAACCATATATATCCCAATATTGGGTATATTTTGTTATGATAAAATAAATGGAGGCATTATATATCAATAGAAATGTAGTTGCAAAAACAGGTGGCAGAATAGATTTGGCCCATGAATTGCAGTTCAATAACAGTTTTTCAGGGAGGATGTAGGTCATGAGGGACATACCCGAGACCCCTGAGAAGGTTACCTTTATGTAAAGTACCAATGTCTACATAAGCTGTCTTATGTGACCAGGTAAATTTATTTTTTATATACTCTCTCATCGCTAATAATCAAATCATGTGTTCTTTCCACCCCATTCTCTTTCCTATACAAACTATCCATGTTTACAACAGTGATGTTTCATGATGATGTTCTAATGTTAACAGAACAGAGCATATGTGTTTTTTGTTTGTTTGTTTTGGTTTTTTCGAGACAGGTTTTCTCTGTATTGTTTTGGAGGCTGTCCTGGAACTCGCTCTGTAGACCAGGCTGGCCTCAAACTCACAGAGATCCACCTGCCTCTGCCTCCCGAGTGCTGGGATTAAAGGCGTGCGCCACCAACGCCCAGCTAGAACATTTGTTTAATGATGTAAAGATGTGTTGCCTTGTTTATGCTGCATTTGTTTAACTCTGTAAAGCTGTGATTCTTTGCAAGTCTAAAATACCTGATAGTCTAAGAAAGAGCTAAATAGTCATTATCGAGGAAGGAGCAAGGATGGGAGGGGCTGGCAGGCAGAGACTATAAATAGAAGGAGAAAAGAGGAGGAGAAACAACAAAGGAGCAAGGAGAGGACAACATACAGGGTCTGGCCATGGAATTAGAGTGAAAGTAAGATATACAGAAGTAAGTAAGAGAAGGAAAAAGCCCAGAGGCAAAAGGTAGTCAGGATAATTTAGGTTTACAAAAGCTAAGGCCGGGCATTCATAAGAAATAAGTCTCTGTGTATGATTCATTTGGGAGCTGTATAGCAGGCCCCCCAAAGAACAAAATAAGTCAAAGAGTAAAGAGTAATAAAACCATCACCACCACCACCACCAATAACAACAACAACAATGCACGCGTGTACGCACGCGCGCGTACACACACAGACAGTGGTGGTCCTGAATCCCAGAACTCAGAAGGGAGGCAGTGGATCAGGAGTTCAAGGTCAACATGTGCCTATACACAGTAAGCACTTTTCTCTAAGAAATAAAACAGAGAGGAGAAAGGAGGAAGTGAAGGAGGAACAACAAAATAGAAGAAAATATTTGCCAATCATATCCAGCAAGGACCCTGTATCTAGAAATAGACTTCTCACCATGCAGTAACAAAAAGACAAACAACCAATGAGAAACAGCTATTAAAAATCATCAGCTGTCAGGAAAGTGCACGCCAAAGTGATGAAGTCCTTCTATGTATATGTTTCTCTTATTGGTTAATGAATAAAACACCTATTGGCCAGGCAGGAAGTGACGAAGCTGGGCAGAATCAGAATATAAGCAGGGACAAACAGGAAATTGCTTTCTCCTCTTCCTCTTCTCTTCTCTGTGTAGATGCTGAACAGTCAAGATGTAGGATGCCAGAGGAGTAAGAGGTCCCAGGACCTTTCTCCGGTAAGATAAGGTCACAAGGAAATACATAGATTAGTAGTTATGGGTTAAGAATAAAAAGCCCAAGTCTCCAGCCAACAGCTTTATACTAATATAGTGTCTGTGTGCTTTCTTGGGGGCAGAGAAGGACAGCAGGACCAGCTGTGCAGAGAATCGCACATTACACCAAAGCCATAAGGCACCATCTATGTTCCTAACTGAAGATACATGAACAAGTGTTGGTAAGGACATGATGAAACTAACCCTTTTGTACACTAGTGATGGGGATGCTATTGGATAATAGACAAGCTATCATATGGCCCAACAGTTTAACTTCTAGGACACACACGTCCAAAACAAATTAAAATATCTGCCCTATTCATGAACACTGCCCCTAATTTTATTCAAGAATATTTATAATGCATTATCCATAACAGCATAAAGTAGAATCAAATCAAAACTATATCAACTTATAAGTAAATAAATACAGTATATCTCCAGTCATCTGAACCATATTCATCAACAAAAAAGTATGAACTTTGAAAAATATAGTAAGTGAAAGAAGTCAGTTACAAAGGACCATCTAATATTTGGGTAACATTTGTATGAAATGCACAGAGTAGGTACATGTACATAGACAAAAAGTAGGCAGCTGAGTGTCGAGGTGAAAATGGGTAACTACAAGGGGGTAACTGCTTAAAAGGACTTCTCTTTAGAGCAATGAACATGATCTAAAATTGTCTATGGTGATGCCACACAATGCATGAGCATTTAAATCAGTGAGTTATAATGCATATAAACCATCTGAATAAATCTATTTTAAATGGAAATAACTGAATTAAAAACATTTCTAATTTTTCTTTTGTGCTACATGTAGTTAATTTTTCCACAGGGCCTGGAGATGGACACTGCTCTCTTACCCTCCCACCTCTAAGTAGGACAAGGGAAAGGGTACAAAAGTAGCAATGAGAAATCAAAGTTCAAGTCTGCCACCAACTGTGTGAGTTTAGGAAAACTCAGTTGAACTTCTAAACTGCTATTTCCTGTTTATAAAAGATAAAGGTAATATGCTCTCAGCAGTTTAAAAGGTTAATGTGGAGATCAAATAACTTTCCATGTGCACACACAGGGTTCTATGCAGCCCATTTACCAGCAGGTTTTCCCATCTACCTGTTGGCACCCTCTGTCTTCCATCACTGGTTTATATCCTGTAGATGGAAGTTTCTGTCCCACCCAGCCCTGCAGCCATTTAATCCCAAATAAACACACAGGGCCTTATTTTAACTATAAACTGTTTGACCTATTGCTCAGGCTTCTTACTGGTTAGCTCTATTAATCATTAACCCATTTCTATTCATCTGTGTATCTCCCCGTGGTCTTGGTTTACCTGTGATGCCCAGGCCTCTTGCTTCCACAGCAGCTACATGGCATCTCTCCGACTCTGCCTAATACCTTTCTTTGCCCATTTGGATTTCCTGCCTGGATAAATCCTGCCTGTCCATTGGCCAAAACAGCTTTATTCATCAAACAATAAGAGAAACACATATTCACAACATATGGAAGGACATGCTCCCATCAAAGTCCCTTTCTTCTTCCAATCCTTCTGACATCTATTTATGACCTCTAGACAGAAAAGCAAGAATAATAATACCTCTCATACAGTACCAGTTAGAAGGCCTGATCAGGAAAATACCCAGCATGGCTTAACAATCTAACTGTTCTATATACTTTACAGAAAGACAAGATAAATGCAAGTTTCTGCTCATTAAAACAACAATGCTGTGAACAAATAAAAATAACAACATGGAAGTCAGAAGACAACAATGCTACATCCAGTCCCCTTGACCTTCACCCCAAGAAGGGTCCACCTGTCTCTATTCACCCTTGTCTCAAGGTGCCATATTGTAGCAGCACCCTACTCCATTCCCTTGAATCTGAGAATCAAGAGAGAGATGCACAAAAGAACAGTCTAAGTACAGGGATAATAAACTTTGCATGCCTGGAAGAAACCCAGAAGCCCAAGGTATGTTCACAATGCAGACTGAGAATCACCAGCAGGTTTATGATACAGAACGCAGAAGTGTAAGTTTGTCTTCTAAGACACATCTGTAGAAT